AACAATAAAATCATTTCGAAATCTATATTTTAACTCAGCGTTTCTCAATTTTTGCGAACCCTTTTTGCACTTAAAAATTTCAATGGACCTGCCGAAAAATGAGTATGTGAATCACTTTTTTAACTATTATAAATTTATTATTAATACTTAAAAAAAAGTTAAAAAGATATGCTTTGTCTGTAAAGTGTGCTTGGTATGCCCATCCAATATGCATTTTTTGTAAAATATCCAAATGCAAAGGAACAAACTTTGTTCTATTTTTTTATACAGAATCTATAATACATTGTTAAATATAAAGGGTGCGAAAGGTATTTGAGGACATATGAATACTTGCCAAAAATTTAACAACTACAAAATAAAATGTTTTTTATTTTACCATTTATAACTATTTCAAAAGTGAAAACCAGGATTTTTAAACTTATACTGCAACGGAACACTTCGTAAATCGAGAAATTTTCACGGATCAATTTGTTTATTTTGTACAGTAGGTAATATAACACATAATCAATAAGTTTGAACATATTTTTTACGTGTTCGTCCTGTCCTTCCATTTCATTTCATTTATTAACTGTTTGTAGTTCATCTTTTCCTTCGCAATTATTCCAATATTTTTTAATGAAACCGCTCAATAAACAAGTTCTTCGATCTGAAAGATGAGTGGTATTTGGTAAGTTGCGTATGTATTTGTTTTTCAAACAATTTAATATGACATGCATATTGATGATGTATTTCGTCATCTCCGACCAATTTACTTGTTCCTAGGGCAGGTACAACCTCCGAAGTTTCCCAATTTTCAAGAAAAACAAAATTCTTAAAATTGTAATAATTCACATGTTTCAAGAAATCCATTTCCAAATGATATCTTAAAACCTCATTAAAAAGCTCCTTTCAGGTTATAGTATTCATCGCGAATACATAATTAAGAAATCTTATATTTAATTTTATTATATAAGTTACATTAATAACATCTCTGATAGAAACATGATTAAGTTTCATTATTACATTTGCATGAATACCAAAAAAAATATATTAGTTTTTTAGAGGAAAGTAGGAAAGTATTTACAGATAATAGAGAAAAACCTTTTCTACTATAATTGCTGCAACTTAATTAAACCGGTCAATTTTTATGCAAAAAGGTTGGTTGAGTCTACAAATTTTGAGAAAAAGAAAATAGGAGATATAAATCTAGTGCACTTGATTTATATCTCCGGCTACTTTATAACTTCGGCTACCAAGAAAGGTATATTTTTGTATTTAAATACCGAACTCTCAAGCTATTTTCAAAAAGGCCGTAAGAGGTTTAAGCTCATACCGGTCTTCATAAAAAGCTGTATAATCTGTAAAAGCATACAATAAATAATATTTAAATGGCATTGCCATTCAGTTGATTACTAATATCTACAGCAGCGGTCGGGGAACCGGGGTAAATTACCCAAAATGGGGCAAAAATGATTTTTTTTTTGGGTAATTTTTCTAATTTCATCTTACCAAACTCAGAGAGAGGTTTTCTGACTACTTTTCAGATCTTGATGTACAAACTGTGAATTGGGTTGTAGATCCTTTTAAATGTGAAATTACTAACA